GAAAGAAAGGAGGCCAAATCAATCTGTCTTCACAATTGCAACGAAAGCATTACATACCATACTCATCAATTGGAGCATCATAATCATAGGATGTGGAAATAAAAGGGCCACCAGAAGTGCGGCCAAAGTTAGTTCCACCGTGGTACTGTACCAAACCATAAATATAATTCAGCTGGGAAAATATCATTTCATGAACTGTAGGTAAAGCACTGGCAACAACCACAGGAGAAAATTACCATGTAATAGTTCTGGAAAGTTCCAGCGAGCTGGTAAAACCGTGCGACAGCAAAAGCAAGATCTTGCACCGGTCTGTATGGCACAGCATCACCAAATGAAGAGAACCTATTGTATTCACATACAAATGAAAACTCAATATGCGTCTTCACCTCTGTAAACGATCCACATATTTTTTAAAATAACCTCCTCTTGAGGTGCATTCATGTTAAAAGAAGAAAGAAAAACAGAAACACAAATGCCGAAAGGGGAATTTATAATTCTGTGAGACGTCACTACTCAGGAAAAAAAGAATAGACCCATTTTCCAATTAACATTAAACAATATAAGCAACAAGAGAAAAACCCAGTTTTGTTATTGAGTTCTCGTTTTAGTAATTAACATCAAACAATATAAGAAATACTCATATGTTATACCAGCCAGTCCAGTTCTCTGTCCAAAATTTCGGCGTGCTCTTAGATTGTGGAGTGTATTGGTCACAATAAAACCCGTTGCATGTTTCGAGCTGTAAAGTTATCCAAAAATGATGGACTGTATAAAATTTTCCATTTTTAACTGAAATACAACACAAACTTGTAAGAAAGCCGGCAGCAAGAACTCACAATAGGATAAGGGGCATCTTTTTGCTGGCACATAACCCATGGCACCCCCGTGTTTAATGAGGTGGCCATGGCTGCTGCCCATTTTACGTATGCTTTCCCAGCATCACCATACGAACCTTCCACATTACCATACTCGTTTTCTATCTGCATTGTGGAAAAAAAAAAACAAATATCCTTGAGCTATGCTTCTGCTGGCTTAAAAAAAATGCAATTTTGTTGTTGTTGTTGTTGTTGTCGATATTGCGTGTTTTTATCTTTCTTTATTCAGTTGTGTACCTGTGATAAAATTATGGGTCCACCTTGGGATGCATATAAGTTTTCTTGCTTCATCATGTCGACTATCTTGGCTGTAAATTTCTTCATTTCAGCCTGATAAAAGCCCCCCATATTGTCATATGTCAAGTTTTTCTATTGTAAAGCTAATTAATATTTAAAACCAAAATTTGAATAAAACTATGAGAAAAAAGGGAAAAATCGTGAGCAGAAACCTTGAAGGGCTCGTTATCAGTTCGAAACACAATTCCTGGTATAAAATGCAGCCACAGAGGAAATCCACTGTCCAGAAAAGGTCAAAATAGATAAATAAATGCGCAATTAGCCACACAACAATGAATCATAATTAATTNAAAAAAGTATCTCACCCATAATTCCATTCAGCGCAGGCATAAGGACCAATCCGAAGATGAACATAGAGACCAGCATCTTTAACCAATTTCACGAATTTCACCAAATCTTTGTTATCTCCAAAATCGTACTGCACAAACCCTTTCACTATTCAGCATACATCGTTTTACTTTTTGCCTTTTCTCTTTACAGCGACAAGTTGAAAATTTCTAAGAAAAGAACGCGGAATCCAACTAAAATATTAATTAATTCCTTACCAAAAGTCCTTAACATTTGGAACAAAAACCAGAAAAGCGAACCAAAAAAGGTACTAATTAAATCCCTACTTCACTCTAGCAGTTACACTTGGAACAGCAAACCCCCGACTGAAGTAAAGAATATTAATATCATGATAAATGAAAAGGAAAAGAAAAAAAATAAAAAAAACAAAAACGGTAGAAGATCTTGAAGAAGTAAAATATGAAAATCACCTGGCCTCGAACTGGTTCATGCAAGTTCCAAAAAACATAAGTTTCTATCACATCCAATCCTCCGTCCTTTGATTTCTGTATCAAGTCTGGCCACATCTGCTCTCACAAACATATTCCAATAAAACAAACAAATTAATAAAAATATAAAAAAAAAAACAACTAATTAAAAAATTGAAATTAATTAGAGAAAAAAAAAGAGAGTAAATCTGATATCGTTTCATAATCTCTCTGTATTTTATAGTTTAAGTGCGTGAAAATGTAAGGTGTTTGTACTGACATCGGGAGTGCTGCGAGGGTAATGGATCGACCCGGAAATCAAAACCCGCCTCTTGCCGTCGATCAACAGCGCCCGACGGTCGGACGTCACGTTGGCGCCACTGCAAAACGGCGTCGTCACGGCCAACACCAGAAACAACCCAAAACCCATCGCCATTGCCGTTCCACCTCTTCTCATTTTCCACCCAAAAGAAGGTACTGATTGTCCACTCTTAGCCTTTTTTTTTCAGATATAAATAGGAAGAAAAATTAACAAGTNTTTTAATCTTAAAGCACTAGATTTGGCCTCGCTTTGGGGAGTCGCCTTCCTTTGTCTTGAAAGAAAGAACAAAAGCCAAAAATCCTTTTCAGGGGAATGCTCTTAGCTTAACTGAAATAAACAATAATAGAACAGTTTAGAGGATTTATGGAAATATTATCTATGGACGACACGCTAACTCAATAGCATATATTTATAATAGTTTCTTTTATTGGCTTCGCATTATTGATGTTGGAGGTCTGTTCAGCTGGTGAAGTGCTGGTAATGGTGGTGTGATGTGAATGTGTGAATGTGTGATAAAATAAATAAGGCGTGAGTGAGTGGCGGTGTTGGATTTTTGTACAGATGATAATGATGATTACTTACTCGGATAGCATATATTTCGGTCTGTTTCTATTTTTTTCGGTATATTTATTTGGATTTGGATAAGATTCTCTTTAGTATTTTTTTTTTTTTTTNTTCATCCTCAGTTCAGATTCTCTTTAGTATTTCCTTTCGTTTTGATGTATATATCGTTCAATCTTAACAAATTGCATGCTCTAAAGACAAAATTAAAGAATGAAATGATGGGAAATGGTATATCCCGAAACTATTCCATTGGGTGTTTTAACTGTTAGATCATCTATCTTATACTAACTATATGTGTATTTAATAATTAAAACACCCAACGGGATGATTCCGTAACGAGACCGTAGTATTTTCCTGAAATGATAATGCCATAGGTACGAAGCAATGACACCGTGATAATGCTTCCCCTTATAGCATGCTTGTTTATCAATTATTTCACTCATATTTAATTCATACTTAAAATTTAACTCAATTTTAACTTAACACAACTATCTTTAATATTATTTATATAATTAAATAATACAAACCAATCATTCTTACACATTACATCGACTTTAATTCACTATCCATCCACTCACACAATTTTAACTACCTATCATTTTCAATCATTTATCTCATACTTTTATATTAAATCAATTAATTATTTTATTTTAAATATTATTTTAATACATTCTTAAAATCCCACTAACAACTAACAATACTATCTTTTTCAAAATTAACTCTGCTTAACCAAAATAACTCATTTTGGATGAATTATTTTGGAAATAAACAAACCCTTAGGTTTCAGCGCACCCTAATAATTAAAATTGATAATATAAAAATAAAAGAAATAAATAAATAATAATTAGAAAAAAAAAAAAATCTCATCCGANTACAAAAAAAAAAAAAGGAAAAAGAAAAAGAAGAAAAATGGGAACCATAGTGCTGTACCCATCTCCAACCATGGGCCACCTTATATCCATGGTGGAGCTCGAAAAACTCATCCTCCACCATCACCCATCCGCCACCGTCACCATCCTCACCGTCTCTCCTTCCTTAAACACCGGTTCCACCGCCGTTTACATCCACGCCGTCCCCTCCATCACCTTCCACCATCTGCCCGCCGTCCACCTCGACCTCCAGACCTTTCCCTCCATGGAGGCTGTCGTCTTTGAAACCCTTCGGCTCCATCTCTGCCGCCGCCGCCACGACTTTCTTCCTCCACTTCCCGGCGGTCCACGGTGCTACCGCCGTGAGCTTCAAGGGGCATGAGGGACACGCTCCTCGATTTCCCGGCCTGTCGTCATTCCTGCCGTCCGACGTGGTGGTGTCACTGCTCGATAGGGAATCCACCGACTACAAGATCTTTCTAGAATATTCTCACGGCGTGTTAAATTCAGATGGAAAAACTGTGAACACATTCGAGAGTTTGGAGGTGAAGTCGGGGACCCCACAGGTGGCGGTGCTGGGGCACGGGTCGGTGGGCGGGTTCGTGAACCACTGCGGGTGGAACTCGGTGCTGGAGGCAGTCGGGCAGGTGTGCTGATGGTGGTGTGGCCGCTGCACGCGGAGCAGAAGCTGAACCGGACGGTGTTGGTGGAGGAGATAAAGGTGGCGCTGAGAATGGAGATGGCGGAGGATGGGTTTGTGGCGGCAGAGGAGGTGGAGCGGCGAGTGAGGGGGCTGATGGAGGAGGTGGAGGAGGTGACGAGGGTGGTGGAGGAGCAGAGCTTGGAGGCGGCGGCGGCCATCGCGGAAGGAGGTTCCTCAATTGTTGAGCTTGGGAAGCTTTTTCAGTCGTGAAAGAAAGGTGTAGTGTTCTTTTAGTAATTTCCATGGCCCCACATAGCCCGTTGAGCACGAAAAACCTAGTGGCATTAGCGAAGGTGAACCCGAGGGTGCCTCCAGCGGGCGGCAACTCACCAAGCCGACCGAGGAAGGCGGTGGTGATGGCGATCTTGGTGAACCTCGTGAGGTGGTGGCGATCTCGCAGAGCCCATCGCATGCTGCTGTTTGTTTCTTAATTTTTTTCATTTCTTTTTTTTTTTCTAAAAAATATATGAAAATCCTTAAATGGCTAAAAATTAGCTTTTTTTTTAGTGAAAACCACTTTAATATCCAGTTTAGGGAGTAATTTGACAAATCCGTATACTTTAGGTGGTGGTTTGTAAAAAAAAGAAATAGTTTATAAGGTGATGTGCGAAAATCGTTATAGTTTGGATGGCAAAAAGTTTTTTCCTTAAATATTATAAATAAGTGATGCTTAAAATATGTAAGAGGTATATAAATTATGACACTATAGCCACATTCACTTGCATTTTTCAATCATGTGTGGTAAGCACTAAGATGCTTATAATTTATAAGATTTTCTGTATGCAAATAAGTTTAATTTGGTAATAGGACGATTTTTATTTTTTATTTTTTATTTTTTTTTTAAAAATTTAAAGCTCAAGCTTATGTCATAAAAAAAATTCAGTCACTTTTTAAATAAGCTCATAATATTTATTTCAGTTGTCTTATCAGTTAATTTTATGAAATTAACTTGTCAATTATTAATTAACATATCAGTTGTCATAATATTTATTAATTACACTGAGGAGGTTAAGTATAATCTGGCCGTGGATTTGCTTGGCCTGGTCGACAGTTAGGGATTTTTCCAGTAAGGTCGGCAGCTTGCATTTGGGGAAAAATTGAAGAATTTGAAGTTATGTTATTGAAGGCCTGGACAAATAAAAAAAATCCAGATTATACTCACACCATCAAGAATCTGGCTGTGAATTCTTAATTTTTTTTCTAATAAAATAAATATTTATGGCAACTTGCAAATGATTCAGAGTCTATTTATCAGGATCAAAGGAATTAATGGGATTTAAAGGGGTTTGACATTGCTTTTTCAAAGTAAAATCTGGTAATCAACAATGATGCTAAACTAGGTTGAAGAATTTGTAATTGTTTGATGAATTTACAATGTAAATCAAAATTTTGGTGTGGACAAGTTTAAAAATATAATTGTAAGTGAAAGGCAGAAAAGTAATCTTAGCTTAAAAGTTATAATTATCAACCCTCAACCAAATAAGTTAATACGCAAGTTGAATTGTTTGATAGCCTTTGATTAAATCAAGAATGTTATACAAGCTCAATCAGGATTTTCCAACCAAACGGACTCTTAGACTATATGTTAAAAAGAGCACAAAATAGACCGTTTGCCATTCTACATATTGATGCATGAATAAAAAATTTCTAATCATCCAAAGTTGCCTGTATGTGCTAACACTAGCTATTCATATTGACGAAAATGGTTCATATTACCAAAAAAATTGAAACTTATTATTTTTTTTATGGAAGAAGTTGTCAAAATAAGAACTTTATTGCGAAAGTATTGTTACTTAATGCTATGGCTCGTCCAAAAGTCTTCCTATTTGTCAAAAAGCACCAACATAAAGAAAACGTCTATATAACGACACAAGGACTTTGGAGATTCAATTGATTACCTAGATCATACGAGATGTTATAAAAATAATTTTTTTAATCAATAAGGTCATACATAAAATTCAAGAAGTGAGACCAAAGGAGTGTTTCAGAAAAATCATCTTCATTCAACAAGATAATACATGAAGTCATGTTAATCCAACAGATGTAGAGTTTTAAATGGTCTGTTCACATAATGGTTTTGACATTAAATGAATATGTCAACCATCATGCTCTCCTAACTTCAACAACTCCATATTCAAAATGCACTTAGCTTTAGTAACTCTCCCTATCATTGTATCAAGCATGGAAAAACCCTTCAAAGTTGTTTAATCATCAAAGAATCATTAAAAATCTGGACTTTGTAAACCGACATCTCCATATGTCCTAGGTGCTGCCAATTTGGTCCACTCAACCTAGTGAATGTTATTCCCCCTTTTCCTCATTTTACACCCGACTAAAGTTGGAAGCAGTAGAATCAGATTGTGGTGAATACATCCAGCCAGTGTAAATAAGTAATATAGACAGGGAAAGCATTATAGACTGATTTCAACATGATTTCCTTTCCAATTGAATGAAGGAATTGGTTCCTCTAGTTACCCATTTTTCAAGAGCTATATCTGATGATTAATTTCTCCACGAACCACTTTCAGTGACCTGAACCGATTTGACCTCCAGATTTTCTGCAAAACACGTCGAGAGTGTTCTCGGTGGTAAACCTCTGAGGATCAAGTCAGTTGTCGAAATATGAAAGAATATAGTGTACGTATATTGTAAAGCTTAGAGTGTGTAACCAATATCTTTCATACTCATATTTATCTGTAGTGAACTCCTGTCATGTTTCCCAAGAACCGTCTAATCCTTCTGTCTGGGTGACCCGGCTGCGGGTAGGTATGCCCGATCCACTGCTAAGTAACTGAGCTACCCTAAGGTCTAGCTGACGGTTATTTTGCTGCCTTGATGTCTTCCCGAGACCCATCCTTATCTAAATGATAATCTAAATCATTGCATGATAATCCTCCACGTGTATACTTGTTAATATATCCACCAACCTAATATCTGTAGGTCTTCATTGGAATATGGTCCATGTAATGTAACGTCCCGTTTTATTTTAATTGATCATCGACTAGACATTGGAATCTCGTTTAAATTTTTTCCTTCTTTGGATTAATTGCTCAATTGATGATTTATTTGCCTAAGTAAATTTTCTTAATTATGTGTTTATTTGTGTATTTGTCCTAGTGTTAACCTTATGTCATTTTGTGCCTTAATTTCATTTTGTGCTAAGTGTGCTTATGTGAGTAATTCTATTTTATGTGTCTAAAGTGTAATTGTGCTTATTTGTATCATGTATTCGATTTATATTTAGTGCCTTTGTATGTGAATGTGTCTGTGTGTGTTTTAAATATATATTATTGGCCTTTCGAATTAATTCCAAGCCCTTAGCCTTGCAAAAACCATGCACGCCTAAACTATATATAATGAATCCTTTCTTACATTTCCACTGATGTGAATTTATACATTAACAACCAATTAACATCACTTTTATCTTCTTTTGGTCTACGAAACTGGATAAGAGCCCAATTGCAAATTACAGAAAAAGCGCAGGTCCCATACAAAAATATATTGGGCCTTTTCCAGTCCCCATACAAAAGAAAAAATCTGAAAGAAAAGGGAACTATAAATGGCCCAATATATTATATTAGCTTTGCCCAACAAATAAATAGTCAGCACAAATAACAAAGACTGTTATAATAATTAATAAAGGATTTAAAATAAATTAACATTACATACATTTAATAAAAAAGTGTCTGGTAGTGACAGTTCACACAAAAGAGGCTGGCAAAGAGGAAAAGAATAAGAGAGAAAAGAGGGAAAAGAGAGAAAATAATCAAAGAGCTTATCAAGTTTTTGTCCAATTGCTCGATAAGACGAGGTAAAATTTATTTTTCTTTATTTTTAGGTAGTAGTAAATATATTATTTTTATGTATAAATTGTAAATTCAATCCCTAATGCGCTTATAGCTATTTAAAGTGTGATATACCATAATAGAGAATTTCATTGATTGTAAATTTATGATATTAATTTTTGTACATCAGATATGGAGAGATATTTCAGAAAAAATCCCGTCAACAAGTGCTTGTGAAAATATCTCAAAAGGAGATACTTTGAGTCCAAATAGATTTGAGAGAATTTCTGGTATCACTGGGCAGAAAGAAAATATGATCGGAAGTTTAATGGTGATCGAGGAGTTCGAGTTTTCTCAAATTCCCTCTGATCTCAGATTGAGAATTCCAATCTCAAGATACAGTTCAAAGGTTAGAGACCAAGTTCGAAGAGCATATTTGCAGAAAGGTCCTTGTCAACCATTTAATCAGCATTTTCCCATGACGAAAGTCTCAACGTCATTAATAAGCACAAAGTGTTTTCTTTGGTTTACAAACTTTTAACTTTGGCGTTGGTTTTACCGGTTCAACAGCTATGGTGGAATGAGTATTTTCCGCAATGAATATCATTTAGTATAGATTGAGCAATCGAATGAGTGATGATTGGTTAAATGATAGGCTACTAGTTTATGTAGAAAATGAAACTTTCTTGAAAATTGGTAATGATGTTATTTTCGATCTATATCATGTCATGAAAAACTCGTAATAAACGGATATGAAGGTATGTTCTTGTATTTGTTTTTTTCGTTATAATATTTTATATTTTTTTATTAAATAATTAGGCCCTCCCTCATTATGTTTGCTAGATCCGCCCCTGCATGACCATGTAAATTTTTGGTATATAATAATGCTTGGACCAAGTCTCCTCAACCTTCAACCACTTCTCCTAAAATATGAGCATATCCCCATGCCTCTCACACTCCCATTCAAATTTCTCAAGCCCTAAAATGTCACTATAAGAACAACACACCTCTCAGCCTCCCTCCCTATTGTTCCCCTGCAATGAGATCACAAGAAACTTTATGATATCTCTGCCATCCCACAAAAACTCCTCAGCTGCAAGCTTCCCGGCAACGAGCTCATCGCCGAGCACACCATAGTCGGGACCTAGCCTTGAAGTGCAGCAACAAACCAACTCCTTACCACCTTCCCTCAGCAACTATCAAGCCGTAGAACAACCAACAAAAGCCAAGCATATCAGCCCTAAAGCCGAAAACCGAGCCAATTCCTCCCTTGGATTTAAACCTGGTGAAAGGTAATCCAAGCCAGCCTTTAACCTCGATTTTATGACTGAGGATATGTATTTCTATGTGGATTATCATGTGTAATTGTTGAGGCTTGATTCTGCCCTTGAAATCATATGAATATGCCTTGAATTGATTAAGTAT